CTGGTAGTTTCGAACCGCTGACCTTAAGGTTCGCAGCCCGATTCGTAACCACTACGCTACCAGAGCTCCTTACTCAGTGTTTAAACTCTTCCCGTCACAAGAATTTGACAGCCCATTTCTTTGGTATCTTCCTTCTCTTTCTGACTCTCCTCACTTTCAATAACATTTCGGAGTTTTGTACTAAGTCAATAGTAAACAACAACAAAAAAACACTTTTTTCAAGCCGATTCCAACTCTTAGTGACCCTACATAGGATTTCTGAGTCTTTAAATCTCTATGAGATTAGACAGCATTATCCTGCTTTCATTAAGTAACTGGTGGGTTTGAACCACCAATCTTGAGATTAGCCATCCACACCTACCCCACTGCGCCACCAGAGCTCCTTAAGTCAACAATGTTGTTGTTAAGTGCCCTCAAGTCAGTTCCAACTCATCTTCGACCCTGTATGGATACTAATAAATGCTGACTGAATCCATGAATGAATATATTTTTTTATAAAAATGTGTATTTCTCTGTATTATTTTGATTTTAAAATCTCGTTCCTGTACAGTTTAAAAAGTATAGATGAACTACTGGTTTTTCTTGGCATTCTGAACCAAGACATCCCCTCAAATCCCAGTAAAGATTTTGTAGATATTTATCTTAATGGTCATTTTAACATATTTCAGCAGAGCAATGTTAGATATGTTTCTTTTATATCATTCATTCCAGTAACAATTTATGATGGCACATAAATTTTAAAATGAACTAATTTCTGAAGAATCCCACCCCCCCCAGTTTTTATTGTGAATTGAGTGATAGCTTACATAGGAGAACATCCTATCGTATTTCGTTTCGTTGCAATGATTACAGTCCCCTCCATGCATCATCATTCAATGGTATTTGCTTTGTGTGTGTTGGGGTTGTTTATTTTGGGGGGTGTGTGTACACCTAAACACTCAGGAACATACAGTCATTCAAACAAACAAAGGGGTACACCGCCCACACCACACACACACCCCAAGGAACAGGTGGCTCTGTAGGATAAGCACAAGGTT